CTTTTTTTTTACTTTATGATTGCAAATATACTTTTTATATAAACAAATAAAATAGGTACTGTGAATTGAATAGGAAGTGTTCAATAAAAATGCGTGTCGTTTTTTGATTGGTAGATTTAATTAAAAAACCATGTTCATGTTTGAATAACAAATCGGTTAAATAAATTTGCGACCGAAAAATATTTGCACCTCGGTTGAGACTAACGAAATGCTTTATTATTAGATTTTTAAATATAAAAAATCCGCTTTCTAATATAAAGCTAAAAATAATATAAATTAAAAATTGTTTTGGGAAACATGGACAACGTGGAGAAAAGGAATATCTTTTAATTGGTTATAGATACCTGCTGCTACTTTACAATTTATATGTTTGTTTTTAAATGAAGTTCAGATTTATTATTTCTTTATTTCTATTCTATTATTTATTTCCTCCATTTTTTTATATATTTCACAAAATCATGACTGCGGCACAGTCTCGACTGTCTGCATGCCGAGCGCATGCCGAGATTGAGGCGCGTAGGCATAGCTCTCGCTTCGTCCGTTTGTATGAAAGTTGGAATACTGTACAGATAATATTACCATGGTATAGCTTTAGAGATATCGTGATGAGTCAGTCAGTCTGTGTGTCACTCGTCGTTCAATATCCTTATCATATAATATAAATACAAATAATATATTCTGTTGTATTTATCACTAGGAATGCTCTGAGCACTCCTAGTGGTAAATACGACACATTAATGAACAGGTCGTCAGTACAGATTTATTTTGGTGAAAATAGTTTGCCGCGCTCTCCAGCAGTGGTTCCGGCTAAGATTAATCTCTGGTTGCTTGTGTAATGTATGAAACGTGTGCCTAAGCCACCACACTCCTGCACACACAATTCCACCGCTGAACCATAAACCTCCCCAAATGAATGCCTCCGAACATGATCCTGAGCTGTTTTAATCTATTAATTTTCTGCATTTCTAATCTGGTTGTGGCTGTCTAGTGGGCGAGCCGCCCTACACTTCGCTTCCCAGTATAAGACTAATACTCGAGAACCTTTCTTCCCCATAAATTGTTGGTTCCGCGTCACTTCAGATTACTATTGAGTTGGATGTGTTGGTTAATGTGGTTCAACTGTACATATCCGCTTACGTATATATATATATACATATAAGACTAAACCCATATTATATATATATATGTATATATATATATATATATATATATATATATATATATATATATATAATGTCCGTGTATGCGCATGCACTGGTGCACTCTCTATTCACTCACTCTCGTAATCTGATGGGACGGTAAACCGACACAACCGGAGAGATATCAGGCGCAGGACCAAGGGCTTTTGCCTCGGAAAGCACGGGGGTGAGACACCGCCAACTTCCTGACTCTGGGCAACTACTGAAAATTTCTTGACGGAAAAACTTAATAATTAATTTTTTGGTCCGATCCGGGATTCGAACCCAGGACCTTATGATCAGCAGTCGCACTACTACAACCACTAGACCAACGAGATACAGAACCACTTTCAAGGATTCACTTTCATAATCATAAAAAGCATATTGCAGATCATGCTGCAGTACATTATGGTCGTACCACGAATGGTTCGGCTCGACTAGGTAAGGACCAAGCTCTCACAAAATACTAGCGTAAAATAGCAGCTAAATGCTGTTTTGTTTCGTATGGTCGGTGTAGAGGAGCGAGGAGCGAGGAGGAGGAGAGTTTTACTACATTCGAATCATTCTAGGTTATCCCTCGGGGGTGACAACGCATCTGCATTTTGATTTTTGATCGAGGATAGATGTGGATATTTATCGACCGCGGTATCCATTTGCTATCGGGTGGACTGTGTTCTCGTTTGTAACCATTTTTGTATATAAAAAAAGACTAATCAAGAAGTTAACAGCGAAAGATTTTTACATCAGAAAACCATAGATAGGAAGTTAAGTTTACGAGTAGAAAACATCATATTGAAAGTGGCATATGACAATGATATAATAATTTTTGTTTCATTTTATTGCTGTATTTATTTTTACTATCGTGCTCAGAAGCGATGCGCTCGCCGTAAATTTCATAGTACACGAGTAACGCTAGTTCGACACCGCCGGCACCAATGAATAAGTACATTAATTGTAATTTAAGGACTGATTCATCACATTGTCTGCATATCTGAGACACAAATTAGAAAATATTTTCTAAGAGTCGAATAGAATAGAGAATAGAGTCATTTGTATTCAATATAGATTATAAGAATTCTTATTGAAAGTCATTTAAGCTTTACCATTGGTTCGGGAAAAAACCTCTGTCCTGAGAAGAACCAACAAGAAATCAGTGGAACTTTATTTAAAAAAAGCATAATTCACAATCTCATATTTTATATAATTATTATGAAAATATTCAGAAGCAGCATTATAGCAATCACCTCATTCCCAGGGGTTATTAGTCAGGCATGTACTCATTAGTAGTATACTACTTAATATATTAATATATTAACTCTTACTAAATAATTTTAAACCTTTTGGTAGATAAGGCCTGCATATTATCTGGGACTTTGTTATAAAAGCATATACATTGCCACATGAAGGAAAAACTGAGTTTTTGGAGTAAAGTAACTGACATAGATAATGTGAAGCCCGTCGACACACATTGGGGCCGCACGCACTGTGGCTTATACTTAGCAGTGGAATGTATTTACTGTAATTTAACTTTTATATAGTTGTGTTACGTGATACTAGTGATTTTTAAGCACGTAGTTATTTTTTATATACACAACTATTAAAAATCGCTTCAAAAATTCAAATGGCTTATTAATTCAATTTTAAGTACGTCCCTGTTCTCTACTCGCCACGGGCGATAGTTTTCCCACGGTCGCGAACGCTCTGCGGCCAACAGCACTGCCATTTACATGCCCCCACTACCGTATTACACAATCAACATACCATGAGCACACCGATAGAACTCACAGTATAATACCTAACAAACTTTGCACTCGGTCGTATAATTGCAATAAAAGTACTTAGTCATCCTAAAATGTCAAAATACGTTTAGTTATTTAAATGGGTTGTTATTCGTTGATCTCAGTATACAAAATCTGTTATATGCTTGCCATAAACTATGCAGGATTATTGTGTCCCAAATGTAAAGTTAAAGCGTATAATAATAATAATGTCCCCTAGGTCAAATTTTAGTCGCAGAACAGGAGTATAATCCTGTGTGCTGACCGAGTGTATTCCTAAGCACACGTGCGCTCTGTATTCCTTCACTTTCATAGTCCGATGGGACGGTAATCGAATCGATGGTTTTGTTACGTGGTAGAACCATCCTGCAGCTATATTGTGGCTGCAGCACTAATAGGTCTGTTCGACCGGGGTAGGACCACGCTCTCACAGAATACCAGCGAAAAATAGCAGCTTAATGCTGCTTTGTTTCGTATGGTGACAGTAGGGAACCGGAGACCCTGACCGGAAATGAGGCATTCCATCTCTGTCCTCAGGGATGGCACCGTATCTGCATTTTGATTCTTAATTAAAGATAAATGTAGATGTCTATGGGTCACAGCAACCATTTACCATCAGGAGGAGTATGTGATTGTTTGTCAACCTTATTCTATAAAAAACAGCCTTACCTGCCTTCCGAGGCACAGGGGTGAAGCACCGCCAACTTCCTGAGTCCGAAATGCTACTGAGAATTTCTTGACAGATAAACCTAACAACTGATTTTGGATCGATTCGAACCCGCGACCTACCGCGAACGAAATATTTCATTCCCAGATATTCAAAGTTCTTTACGATGATCTTCATCGCCGATCACGTGGTTAATCAGTGCTTAAAAGTGTAATTGACGATTTCATTGGTGCCGGTGTTTTTTTTTTATGGAATAATGGTGACAAACGAACACACAGTCCACCTAATGATAAGTGGATGTTGTGGCGGACCTCTACATTTCTCCTCGATTAAGGATCAAAATTCAGATGCGTTTTCACCCCTGAATATCAAAGGGTATCCGGTTCTCTACACTCACCATACGAAACACAGCCGCATTAAGCTGCTATTTTGCGATGGTATTCTGTGAGAAAGTGGTATTACCCAGGTCGAGCCGAAAAATTCATGCTACAACCATGATAACCTGCAGCGTGGTTCTACCAACAATATCACTGTTGTTTACATTCTAATGCTTAGACTCTTAAATACCAAGGTTGTTAAAGTCGCAAATGTTGTACACTTACGTCCTCTCATTCAAAGCCCATCCAAAACCAAACTTCGAAACCAAACCCAATCACTGTGAATTTTTTCTTACAAATTCTATAAAGATTAGTATCGAATCAATTATTCTGAGTTGTACAATCTACATTTTACATGTTTACTTATGCATGCTTTAATTACTAATATTAGATAATAAAATCTAATATTAATATCATATCATAATCTAAATTTATTTCGATGGGTTTAATTAGCTACGCCGTGAAGTGTAAGAGAATATATTATTATATTATCATATTATCTATCAGATTGCCTCGTTGGCCTAATTGAAGTAAAGCGATTGCTGATCATGAGGTTCTGGGTTCGAATCCCGGGTCGGGCCAAAAGTTGAGTTTTTCCGTCAAGAAATTGTCAGTAGCTGCCCGGAGTCAGGAAGTAGGCGGTGGCTCAACCCCGTGCCTCGGAAAGCACGTAAAGCCGTTGGTCCTGCGTCTGATTTCTCTTAGGTCATGTCGGTTAATCGTCCCATCGGCTTATGAGAGTGAGGGAATAGAGAGTGCTCCTGTGCTTGAGCATACACTTGGGTACTATAATCCAGTCCTGCGCCGATGGATAGTCTCTGTTGAGGCAGGTCGCCTTGACCGAAAATCGGTCTGGAGGACATGGGTAGCAGCATCTTCCTCAAAACAACTCAAAATAATAAACACCTGCAGTTGTCGCAGCAACTATGACGAGTATCACCCCCCCCCCCTAGCAATCTACGCCTATGTTGAGCAGTAGATGAGTGAATAAAATTTAGTGATGAGTGATGACTTACGGACTAATCATCAGCATGATGTGGCAATGATGAAAATACTTCTTTGTAAAAGCCGCACGTACTGTGGACGATCTGATGAAACAGCTTGGGAGTTGATAGATATAGATGACTCCGGAGTCAGGAAGATAGATGACTCATTGCCTACCATGTTTTGTGACAACTCGCAATCAATGGAAGAGCCCTACGTTTAACACTAAAGATAATTATGAATTAATAATATTTATAACACTTATCGATTGTCGATCGATGCAGGTGGCCCGCGACAGTGTTTTGATACATTTCTTTGAGGAGGCGTACGTTCCGTAGTGAACTTGTGAAGGGCTGTAATGATGATGATGAATATCACATATCATTATCATCGTTCGTTACAGCCCTTCACAAGTCCACAGCCACCTGCATCCATCAACTCGAAAGTTAAGTGGTCTTATAAAGTATGAGTTTTAACTCAAAACTGTCGCGTCAAAAGGAGAAACTCACTTAATCTTATAATTATTTGTTATAGTTATTTTTAATTAATATATTATAATTAAAAATAACTATAACATAATAATTAATGGAGCCTTTCCTCAGCTACAGTAACATTTTAATTTATCTAATGATAGTTATTTTAATTAACTCTTAAAATCAATCAGAATCGAGCCATCCAATTAGTTTCATAATCATCATCATCATTACAGCCCTTCACAAGTCCACTGTTGAACATAGGCCTCCCCCAAGTAATGCCACAAAGCACGGTCCTGAGCCACCTGCATCCATCGACTTCCTGCATGTCTTACCAGGTCGTCACTCCATCTAGTAGTAATTCCTAAACTAATTAGTTTATTATTTTAAAAACTCCAATTAGTTTAAGTAAATGAATATTTCAAAGAATAGATTGACACTAAAACTGATAATGTCAGTTAAGGATCATTATATTAGAAATGTCGCTCACTTAACATTGAGGAAATAGTATTTAACCTCTACAATATTCAACTTTGTAGTCCCAAATTATAATATGAGAATCAGTTAAATAAGTTAAGAGTGTTTTCTATGTTAAACAACTTAATTTTAAGCTGGAACTAAATTTCATATACCTATAACATTATGCATTCCGTGTAATGGCGACGAGCATTGAAATAGGCGACTATGTGAAATACCATTAAAATCTTCTCTATAATGTATGGCTTCTGATAAATAGCAATGTAATCATTTCATTTTCCGTTAGAGCCAGCGTATGTTTGCCATAGTTGCCACACTTGGCAAGCGTGTTGGCAACCGCAGTTTATTTTTATTTTAAGTCATAATTGAGGGGACGCTGCTCCCATCTCCTGATTTGTTTCCCTCTGTCGCCTCTTAGGACACCCACGGGATCATATGCGTTTGCGGATATTCTTACACCGACAATACACGGTATTTAATTTACGCAAGATGTAAAATACCCAGACGTAGCAGCGTCAAATGTAGGTACGATACGTCAGGTTTTGCGCTCTTCAATCTGCCTGCGAAGAAACAGCAGAACGAAGCGGCCTCCCAAAATGAAATATTTTGGTGGTAGAGCCATGTTGCAGTTATATTAGTTGCATAGTTGTAGCCAAAATGGGTCGGCTAGACCGGGGACGGACTACGCTCCCACAGAATACCAGCGTAAAATAGTAGCTTAATGCTGCTGTGTGTATGGTGAGTGTAGAGAACCGAAGATCCTTTTTACTGGAAACGAGGCATTACATCTGGGTCCTCACGGGTGACAACGCATCTGCATTTTGATTCGTAATCGAGGATAGATGTAAATATCTATGGGCCACTTACCAACACTTACCAACAGGTGAACTGTGTTCTTGTTTGTCACCCTATTCCATATGCCTATTCAAAAGAAAACTACTTACTTCAAATTATTCTTTGACTAAAATTTTGAGAGGAAACCACACATTTCTTAGGATCATAACACACCTACCAATGAAGCGACTGTAAACCAAAGCACTGTAATTACTGACTCGTGCCGCCCATTCAATCCTCTTTACGACCTCAAAACCTAATTAGTGGGTAGTCTGAGTATCGTCAATATTTTAATGGCTTCTTAAAAGTCGTTTCATTATACACTTCGAAACGAGACGTGGGATGGGTTTCATTAAAATTCTAACATCCAGATTAGCATGATTATGTAATCTTTTGGTGTTTTTTTTAATAGAATTTAGATGACAAATGTTCTTACAATCCACATGATAGTAAGTGATTACCACAGCCCGTGGAAACCTCAAGCCTCTGATCAAAATGAAATGATGAGAGCTACAAATGTGTTGTCACCTCTGAGAAATATAGTATAGGTGTAGTCAACTTTTTCTCCAAATGTCAATCTAATTAATACATCTTGTTAATTGCAGGACGAGACTCTTCTAATAAAAAGATGGCGCTCAATCTATACAAACACTAAAGCTAGATTTTAAAAACTGGTGGCATGAGAGTATGGGCTCTGCTTTACTAACTCCATCGATCGCTATTAGTGATCGATGACTAACTCATTTTTATTGCATTGAGTTTACACACACACACACACACACACGCACGCACGCACGCACGCACGCACGCACGCACGTACGCACGCACGCACGCACGCACGCACGCACGCACGCACGCACGCACGCACGCACGCACGCACGCACGCACGCACGCACGCACGCACGCACGCACGCACGCACGCACTCACGCACGCACGCACGCACGCGACGCACGCACGCACGCACGCACGCACGCACGCATGCTCGCACGCACGCAGGCACGCACGCACGCACGCACGCACGCACGCACGCACGCACGCACGCACGCACGCACGCACGCACGCACGCACGCACGCACGCACGCACGCACGCACGCACGCACGCACCGCACGCACGCACGCACGCACGCACGCACGCACGCGCACGCACGCACGCACGCACGCACGCACGCACGCACGCACGCACGCACGCACGCGCACGCACGCACGCACGCACGCCGCACGCACGCGACGCACGCACGCACGCACGCACGCACGCACGCACGCACGCACGCACGCACGCACGCACGCACGCACGCACGCACGCACGCACGCACGCACGCACGCACGCACGCGCACGCACGCACGCACGCACGCACGCACGCACGCACGCACGCACGCACGCACGCACGCACGCACGCACGCACGCACGCACGCACGCACGCACGCACGCACGCACGCACGCACGCACGCACGCACGCACGCACGCACGCACGCACGCACGCACGCACGCACGCACGCACGCACGCACGCACGCACGCACGCACGCACGCACGCACGCACGCACGCACGCACGCACGCACGCACGCACGCACGCACGCACGCACGCACGCACGCACGCACGCACGCACGCACGCACGCACGCACGCACGCACGCACGCACGCACGCACGCACGCACGCACGCACGCACGCACGCACGCACGCACGCACGCACGCACGCACGCACGCACGCACGCACGCACGCACGCACGCACGCACGCACGCACGCACACTCGCACACACACACACACACACACACACACACACACACACACACACACACACATACACACACACACACACACACACACACACACACACACACACACACACACACACACACACACACACTCGCACACACGCGCGCTTGCACCCGCACAGCGTGCTAATGTCAATAAAAAATGAAAATAATAAGATGAGAACTTTATACTTCAGCTAGAGATTGTTTTGGAATATCGGTCTAAGACATAGCGCTTCCGAGCAACTCTCAATGAGAAACTTAAAAGTATGCAAAACACCTCTAGGATACGAGAAAAATTAGTATTGTGTGTGAGACAAATATTTTGTAAAAGAAAACCCGGTCAAGAGCGAGTAGGATTCGTATGTAGATAGTTCATCTATTCCGACAATCAAATCCCTACAATTTTGCCTGTTTTCGATACCGATACACGAATGCCGTTAATTACCAAACATAATATTTACTTTTGTACACAATAGGCCCGTATAAGCAGTACACAAAGTAAAACAAGTACTTAATGATTTCTTAAATTTGCACGAACACTACACATTGAATAAAACTATTATTTACAGATTTTATTGCGTTTAATTACTTTAATTTGTTTTTACTATACCGACGTTTCAGGTGCTTTACAGCACCCATGGTCACGGGGGGGGGACTGAGATGTTTGACGTCCCAGTGTCATAGTTAGTCCGGCTACCTTCAGTTTTTGAATATTAATTTTTGGTCCGATTTACGCAAAACGAGCTTATAGTATCATGAAGTCTTGCAGTGGTATGCTTGGGTTTGGGTTTAATTTTGTTAATTATAGGATCCCAAGCTGCTGGCAGCACCCATCCATCTTCTCTATTGAAATTTGGATGTTTTTTAATTTCAATAGCCTCGCGTATCATCCTTGGTAGAAATCGGTGTACTTTTGCGAGGATTTGTGGTTTATCAAATCGAATGTGATGGTGGGGACGATCTTGAACATGTTCGCAGACTGCAGACTTCCCGGAGCGTCGGTGCTTCACGTCAGCTATATGTTTCTTCACGCGTGTTTTTATAAATCGTTTTGTTTGACCTATGTAAGAGAGACCACATTCACAATCTAGCTTGTACACACCTGCATCCTGTAGGAATGTTACATTTGATGGATGGTAAAAATTGACTAATCTTCTTCGGCGGCTTCTAGTATGTTTTAATGGAAGCTCACTTCAAGATGTAGCCAATCTTGTCTGTGACTCCTCTGATATATCTTAGTACAGCAGGCGCACGCCCGACTGTGGCTGGCTTCACTCGTTCCCGAAGCTTGTTGTCTTGCAATACTTGATTGACGTGTTGAAGCTCGGCGGCCAGATGTTTTCTGTCACAGATCCCTCGTGCTCTCTGAAACAAAGATTTACCCACGGTAGCTAACTGTGAAGGATGATGGTACTTACTTTCTCTAAAATTATATGTGAGGTTAGTCCCAGACATGGAAGAAACACCTCTACACATCCTAACTGATTGTGGACCCTTAACGCGCAAACGTAACACTCATTTGGGAAACTATGTACCTATTTAGTCCAGAGGAAGTGAAGTTGCTCACAGCTAAGCAACTCCTTCAATTCATTGAAGGCAGGGCTTTACAGTGAACTTTATGTAGCCACAACAGCGATCACAATAGATCTTTTAGGTCTCTGTGATACTGGTTTTTCTAAAC